ACTCTTGAGGGTGATCTTCGTTTCCGTTGACGACATGGCGATCGACAAATTGAAATTTGGAAGATCGAATAAAAACCCTAGGTGAGAGAGGAGAAAAGGGGGGTTTTTTTTCTGAGATAAAGATCTTTCAGGAGAAGAGCGCGAGAAACCGAAAATAATTAGGGTCCAATTTGCGAATAAAATAATGTTGGTGGCAAATTGGGTATTTTGCCAACAATACACGTGGGGCTCATCCAATTATTGAACGGATTGATTTTCCTTTTATTATTTTTTTTTATTTAAGAAAAACTGTCTTACAATCTACTTGTAGTAGACTGTAATATCAGTACCTTCAAACAAATTAGACTTTGATATTAAGCCCGCCTCCCTTCTTTTATATGGTCATGATTTTATAATCTGTTATGTAATGAAATGTAAGACAGCAACTTCTTTTATTTATTTATTTATTTATATTTTTTCTTCCTTCTCAGCCGTCGTGGTGCGTTCTGCACCCTGAGGGATTCTCCATGGTATTGGTAGAATGTTAAAAGCAAGCCATTAACTGTATATGGATCTAATCGATTTAAGTTATGGATAGATATAATATTGAATTTGAGTTTGATCTTGAGTGAAGTTCAAAAGTATGGAGCTTAAGTTTATATTTGAGCTTGTATGGTTAACAAATATACAGAGTTAATTTTTATTTAATTTGAACTCCAATTAGTATAGTTGGCGAAATTCCCATTTTACTTTAGTTTGAGCTTAAAATGATTTCGAGCTTCAAACCGAACTTGGGAACCTGATTGTTATTTGATGTGTTTCAATTTTGTCCACACTAGTTATTGTATAAAAAATTTTATTATATATATTTGATTGCTAAAGTCCAACCATTATTAATTAAAAAAAAGGAATATATATCATAATACATACTTTTTTAAATAAAAAATAATTATATAATATATCATTATATACTTAATATTTTAGACAAAGAAAAAAAATTATAGAACCCAATCAATCAATCGATATCTATTCAATCAGAGTGTAGTGGGCTTTGCCTGAACCAAGGACCAAGCGCAGCATCACTATGATCAAGATCGGGATGACAAAACCCAAATTTGATTGAGCAAGAGACCTAAGTTCACTAGAACCACTACACCCTACACTAAGGTACTTTTCGTCTGTCGAAAAACCATTTATAGAAATTATTTCTGGTGTTTGCACCCCATTTAAAAATTAAGTCAACTAAATGAACTTTCGTCAATGGAAAAGTTAAATGTTGTTTAGTTGTTAATTTTGTTATATTTAATAAAAATTTATTAAATAAAT